TGAACCCCTCGTCCTATCGGTACTCTGGTTTAAAGCATAGGACCTGGAAGCAGTGCTAAACCCTCAGCAAACTCCTAAACCCTACTACTAAATCCTTCTGCAACAAGCTTTCCACACCACTAGAACTTTAACAGGACAGTACTAAACCCTAAGCCCTAAACCACAAAACCTGCAGCCCGAACTCTAAAGTAAAAGCCAGAAAGTTGGAATATGATTATCCTAAACCCTTTATGGTAAGTTATAAGGAATCCTACCCTGAAACCATATTCCAACTTTCTGGAGTTCCCTTTAAACCCTCAGAACCCTAAACCCCTGGGCCGGTCAGACGGGACTTACGGACCCATGGACCCCTTTTTTCCGAAGCCAGAGGAGGGCCCAGAGAGCCCAATACCCCTTAATTAAGGAATACCTAGGGCTCCTTTAAAGGGATCCTTTAAGGGATCGATATGGTTGAGGGCCCAGAGAGCCCAATACCCCTTAATTAAGGAGTATGGCCTAAATTATATAGCGCTTCATATTAACATTTAAGCTATATTCCTTAAGTAAGGGGTATTGGGCTCTCTGGGGGGCTTGTAGCAAGCCTTCAAGTGGGTCCCTCAAACCCTAAACCCGACAGACCCGAGACCTAAACTTCAGAGACCTCAAACCCTGGATCCTAAACCCTATAGACCCTAGACCCTATATAAAGCTTATAGACATAAGCCCTGGATCCAAAGCCCTATACACTATAGACCCGAGACCTAAACCTCCACCTTAAACCCTAAACCCCATAGGCCCGAATTCTAACGGGCCTTTCGACCACGCGGGACCCAATGGACTCCAGCGCATAGAACGCACCATCCTCAGGAACACATCGTCCTTTCAGGGCTCCTTTAAGGGCTCCATATGGGCTTCTCCCTTTTTGGGCTAAAGTCTTAAGGTTTAGGTTGTGCGTCCTCAGATAAACAGCACGCGCTCGACCCCTCTACCGTGCCCGGCTTCTGAAGCCAAGCCACATCGTTTCCGAAGAAGATGAAGCCCTTGGAAATCAGTGGGGCTGACCTTAGGGGCACTGCTTGGCATGGCCCGATGTAACACTCATACGGTTAAGGCCAAGGGTTCATATGGAAAGTCGACTAGTTTCAAGCCCGACAGGTCTTGGGAGGTGATGAGTGGGATGCTTGCAGGTGTTTGTTGTCTGTACTTCTTGAAAAGATGGCTAGGAGCCGCTGTCATCATTAAGAAACGGACTGCACTTGTAGGAAACGGTCCGCCTGCGTAATACCCCTCTAACCTGTTCTTTAGGCAGCTACGCTAGAAGTTGTTGACAACGCATGCCTCTGGCTAAGTTTTGGGGCACTTTGCCTGAATTGGCTGCAACCTTGCCCAGTTCTAAGACCAGTGTTGCAAAGAGTCCTGTGGTGGTATTTTTCGACGCAACAGACGAAGGGTCAGAGAACCTCAAGTTTCCATCGGTACAACACGACGTGCATTTTGTGGTCTGGGCTGCTCACTCGCCTTTGGCTCCGATGCTGAGTATTCGCCCGGGTCTTCAAGCACGCTTGGCAGGTGTGTTGGCTCTGGGTGCGATTGCTGCTGCGTTTCTTCAGTACGCTGCTGTAGCATTCTTGCATACAGGCGCTTGTGGATATCACGCACCTGCCCCTGCTGGAGGATGAAGCCGCTGCACATCATGAACCCTGGCTCCTCACGGACATGCGCGGACGGGTCAAACCTGGAAAAGGTACGAAAAGCCATGACGGTCCCAATAGCATAGACGGGAAGGGCAATCAAGGCCGGCAGTGTAATTGCCAGGCCATAGATCCCCATCATCCAAACACACAAAGCAATCAAGAAAAACCATATGGAATTCCATAGAAAAATTAGTGGACCACCGATTGTTTCAGGATATGTCAAGAAGAACGCAAGGGAGTGGCTCCCTGCCAGGGACTCCACGTAAGCAAAGTTCATCATGCAGGCGACGCAGGACCAGCAGCTGAAAAACAGCGAAGAGACACATGCCGACAAATACATCTGCTGCAGATGAATCACAACTGGCTCGCTGTCATCCTCCGCGTCAGGTGAACTCTGGTCGTAGTAGACGGGTCTTAGCCGACCACTCTCCTGTATCATTGCCATGGCCATTGGGAAAACCAGCGCTGCGACGGTTGAGGACTGCTGCCAGATGCCCCGCACGCCTTCTTTGAGGTCTCGCAAGTCACCGTGCATTTCGGCATGATTCAATATGTCCTGAAACAGTGGAACGGATGATGATATAAATCCTGCATTACCTTGATGTCCCTAGACTATGGGAATGATGGTCTCCTCCTTATTAAAGTTGATGCAGGATCTGTATCATCAACCGAAGCATCAAAACAGGTGCATCAAGTTCTGTCCAACAAGAACTTGTGGACACAAAACACAGCCGACATCGAAGACCAAGCAGCATATCCGATGGCCTTGTCTAGTCCCAGCACTTTCGGAAGCACGTAGAACGCCAGCCCCTTCAACAGGGGTGCCCAATTACCTCCTAGAAGCCGGGTAGCATTACTGGAAGTTGGCAAGCTCAGAGAAAACCGAACCAGTCCTCAAAGTAATCTACTACCTTCCAGCATGGCTTTTATACACCTACCTATCGTCTCCATGGTAGTTCCTTTTTTTGGGTCACCTTAGAACGAAAGGAACTACCATGGGGACCCTAGGTAGACCACCTTCAGCGACATCAGCCCGGCGCTGATCCAATGAAGTTGATACTCCTCACGCGCAGGAAAGTTCAGCGCCTGGAGCGCCATCTTTCTGTCGCAATCGGCACTATATGACGGAGAGGAATCCGTTCACTAGCAATCTAGCAAAGGGGCGTAGAGAGAGCAAACTCTAGCTGTATTGAGGAACCCTATAAAGGATGATGTGATTTATTCGGCATGATGAGGCCTTACATCATGGGCGGAGGTGAGTGCATCAAGCTGGACCAGCCTTAGGCTTTGAGCCGGGTGCCTTGCAAAGACTTGCATGTGGACACGCACACTCGCACCAAGCAGGCACAGATTTGTCGCATGTTTCTGCGCTCATAAGGGCTTAGGGTTTTGGGGTTTGCAAGGTCTTTGCGGACTGAGGGCTTAGAGAGTATGGAACCCTAGGAGCGTTAGTGGGGCCCCCCAAAAAGCACATAAGCAAAAATTTGGATAGGGATATCACATATAAACCCCCTTATGATGAAGCCCAGTGAGGTAGGGTTATCCTTATACACTGCTTATGCTTATGTCCTTTTGGGGTCCCTAAGTTAAGGCTTCGGGTTTAGGGCTCACAACCTATCAGCCCTGGTCTTGCGAGATTCACAGAGGCTCGTGCTCTTGGGGGCATTTACAAAATCGTACAGCTATAGGCTATAGACCTAAGGGAACTAAAGAGTCGTACAATTACGGATCTAAGGGGACTATAGAGAAGACTCTTCCTGAATATTCAAGCTTCTAAACATTCCAGAAGCGGCATTTGGACACATGGCTCGGGAATTGAGCAGGCGAAGCCATGCTCGATGCAGGTCTATGCCATAAGGGCTTTAACAATCAGCAAAGGGTTTGTTTTCGAAGGGTTTATAGTTAAGTATAGACATGAAAGTGTTGCAATAGGGGCTTGGCTCCGATCCTATTATCGACCCCCAACCTCAGCTGAAGGTTCAACTTCTCAACGGCGAAGGGTCCTGCTAGAAGTAGGGCGATTTCCGACAGCCCCTCTTTCAACACGAGGCAAGAAGTAGCTGTACAGGCATTATGGAAGCTCCTGCTTTTGTTCGAGGGGCTGTAAAGATGGTGCTGCAAAAGGGAATGAACCGCGGCAAATAACATTAGAAGCTCCGTTGCAATTCCACCCTCGGTAGTGAGCTGCATCTGACTCAAAACATAGTAAGGCAGGCCATTGATGCCATAACCAATGCATCAGCCAAGTCTACATTGCCACTAACATGTGTGATAAAGCTTATTCCTGAGGTAAACCCAGAACGCATACCCTAATCCATAAACCCTTTAAAGCCTAAAGCCCAAACACAAATGCACTCTTAGCCAAGCCTAGAACATGCCTAAACCCTAACAAACAAAAACAAAACCAGGCCCTTTAATCTCACCCATCCTAAACCCGAAACACGAAACCCTGAATCCTAAACCTTAAACGCTAGTGTAGGAACCTCATTAAGAAACCCTGGCCCTATAACCCCCAAATAGTAGTAGGATTCATATAACGAACCCGAATAAAGGCCCAAGGTTTCTTAATCAGGTTCCTACATTAAACCCTTTCGAATTCGCGAAGCTGTGGGCTCCACCCTACTGTTGATGATATAAAATTCTGCATTACCTTGAGGACCCTAAATTGTGGGAATTATGGTATATTCCTTATTATGGGTAATGCAAGATTTATATCATCAACCGTAGCACTGAGCCCTCATCTTTCTGGGATGCCGGCTGTATGGGTGCCTCTGTCTGGAACGTCCACACGAGAGACCCATCGAACTCGGAGACCGCGTAGAAAGTACCTCGGGATGGGAGTTTGGAACTTCGGGTGTAGGGTTCTTAGTGTTTCAGGATGTTGCTGTGGTTTGAGACATTACACGTACATAAAGATATTTAGGATTTCGGATTTTGGAGTGTTCGGGTCACAGGTATTAGGCCAAGCGCGTTCGCGACTCTGCCTTTGCTCCGGCCACGGCTGGGTTCTTGCTAGGGGATTTGATTGAAGGTGCCAGAATCGAGATCTATATTTAATAATCTGGTTTCCGGGTTTTGGTAACTTAAATCCCTTAATTAACACTTAAAATAAACCCCAGAATGTCGAAGCTAGCAGCACTGAGTCTCCCGATCACGACTTCTTCTTGCACTGCAGCGTTCAGGGCCGCTCGTGACGGTGACGGCTCTGGGGGGTTTAGGGCTTAGGGTCCTCCCATTAGTCTTTTCTTCCTGCTTCGGTTGCAACTGCTACGACTTGCACTCAATCTCACATTGCTGCCAGGACAGCATCGAAATTGTTGCTACTGGTCATGGCAGCAGCTGAATCAGTCTGGGATTGCGAACCGGGGCACCATTGTCGGACCCGAAGAAAATCTTCCCATCGTCCAGAGCAGGCGAGGACTTGATGGACGAACCCGCATCGAACTCCCAAACCAACTCGCCTGGAATCAATTGTCGGGACTTGTTTCAGCTTACCTCCAGTCCAAGGGTAAAAGGAGGGACCCTTAATAAGGACCCCTAGGTATATATCCTTCATATAGCTATTATGTACCCATTATATAGCCCATTATAGGCTAGGGGTCCCCACTAAGGGTCCCTCCTTTTCCCCTTTGATCCAGAGGCTTCTAGGCATGGTCTCGCTTGTCAACCCGTTCAAGCTGCACGCGCAACCAATGTGCTGGTTTTTTGCCACTCACACTCGGACAAAGCCTGGCAAGGTCTGTAGCGATCCTGGTCTCGTTAACAAGTAACTGGCATATATCACCAGACACCACCAATCAAGTTACATCCTCACATTTGTTCCCTACGAACAGACAGCATGTAGTCAGAAACTCTGAACGCTAGCAGTTCAATTTGGCATGCCGTTGCAGCAACCTCATAAATAAACTTATAGCACTGTTGAAAAACCATCAAACACTATTCTAACGTCTCAAGTCTCAAGCTTTCCAAGCCCAAGACAACCGCTGCTTGCACAAGATCCTTCAAACAGATGAACTCGAAACCCGAAATAGCTCACAAGAAAGCTCGGGAGCACGTTATGATCAAGAACCTAGTAGACACTGGCCTGCCAGCGCACTCACTGCATAAAGCTTGCCATCAAGAGAGCCTGAATTTGCATTAAAGCCTTGGGAACTTCAGAAGTTTAGGTCTTACGAAGGTCGGGTTCTTCCTAGCAGGCTCTCGCGTTGAGGATGTTTTTTGCTGCTGGAGGGTTGGTTGCTGTCTGAAGGCTCAGATTTGAGTTCGAGGAGTGCAAACCCACCATTCGTTTAGGGTTTAGGGGTTTCCCTCGCTCTCTGCCGTGCCATCATCAATTTCTCGCAATGCCCTTGGTTTAGGGGTTTAGGGTTTAGGATTCTTTGGGGCCACAGAGGTTTAGAATTGGGGTGGATAGGCACAGGATGGGTTGACTCTGTCAAAGTAGACCCCCCCAAAACCACCAGGGACTGATCCGAAGCAAGAGGCAAGGAGCCGGTGCTGAGCATATGTGTTTTCCTTTGATGGCCCGTTTCCATTTTTCTGAGTAGCCCCTTAATCATAAGGGTATCCTTGCCCTATTTGGTTTTAATAAAGGCGCCCAAAAAGAAAAGGAGAAAACGGGGTAGTACTGAAAAACCTAGGTTTGGAAGCTAGGAGATGGTAGATGCACAGTCTCTTCCTCAGCAACTCCGGTCTTTCAGTGCTTCCAACGACTCACAAGTCAAGTCTGGTTCCATTGAAACTGCAAGTCGGATTGGCTGCAACTTTCGTCAAAAAATACAGCTCAGAGTGGTGTTGCTGATCGCTTGTAACAAAGCCGGCATCGTACTGTAGGTTGTATTCTTTGCCCCATGAGTCCAGATTTCTATGTTCTGCTGGGAGTGTCTCGAGGTCGCAAAGGCTGGCAGGCTATAGACCTAATCCTAGACAGTGGTCTCGTTTTGGAAAGCCTGTTTCGTAGTTCAGGGATTAGGGCTTAAAGTTTCTCTATGAAACTAAGTTAACCAACAAGGTACTACATTTGCGGGTCTAGCCAGGCAATCCTCATGAGCTTGAACTGTCACCAAGCGTAATTGCATGAACTGTTCCGAGGTTGGCACTGCAGCGCACTGTTCAATTTCCAATCACCCCCTACCCATCCAGATTAACTCAAGCTGGTACCCTTCGAAGCGGTAGCGTCAAACCTGCGACACACCCGCATAGCATTGATGAAACAGGGCACCGAAGTAGACGATGAGGTTGAACACCTGTAGAGTCGTTCGTGCGTCTGTTAGGTTGCCGAAAAGCTCTTGACTAGTTCACGAGCACGAAGCACCATGGAAAGAGGACCGGACCGGTATGAGACCATGCCCGAGGAACAGCCTGTGGTCTATATCCGACTCAACCCGGTTATCGGAGGTTCCACTGCGCTCCAATCCCCAAACCGCCCGAGTAAGCCTTCAGAAGGGCTCGAAAATCCTTACGCGTGAAGCTTCGCTGCGGGATGCCCCCACACAGCAGGTATCCCAAACACCAAAACCGTAAATACTAAATAGTAAACTGAACCCTATATGCAGTCGCACGGCAAAAGGCGTCCTGCGACTGTCGGAGGTGGTCTAAGGGCTTAAGTTGAAGGGCCCTTGCCACGGAGTTGATCGTAGATTACCGGAACAATGAACTCAGTTCAAGGCTCTGCAGGGGCGCCCAAGTCTTGCGGATGCTTGTTTTCACATCTTGGAACGATGGAAGTCGGCAGCTATGGGACGAACTAAGCCAAAGGAAAAGACTTCAACCATTAAACAGCAACGCCAGACTAGTGAGTAGCCCCGTGAGATGTGCAAGGACCGATGCTGTGACGACGGCCAGGAGCTAGCCTGCATGACGAGGCCGTTCTGATTCTGGCAAACGTTCGTGCATCCTGGATTTAGGTATCTCTATCTCGTACTTTAGGTGCGCAATGCCGACGGACAACGCCTCTATGGTGGCATTGAAGTCTAGGTTTCGCCGTACAAGTCTTGCCTTGTTGGACATCCCACTTTCGCCAAGCCACAGCGGGTGAGCAGTGGACGGCTGCTTCGGTGCGAAACTCCCAGACCTGCTCCGCAAGAGGTTGAGGTGCTAAGCGATCTAGTCTACTAGTCAGTACACCCCTACTAGCCTCGGAGCCATAAACCCCTTCGAGAACCCCTGACACCCTTAAAGACGTAAATCCTGAGGGCCCTGTCGCTCTGCGGCCCTTGCTTGAAGTCCTTATAAAGGTAAGATGTCCATCAGGCACGGACACGTGGGACGACGGGGCAGTCTTTCTCTGACCAAATATGTTCACATACATATACGCGACAAATGCAACACCGCATAATCCACGTTTGAAAGCTGGCCCCCTACTAAACCGCCTTCTTGCCGTCCACCTCATCCAAGGCATAGAGACGCCAATCTGAGGATCCTACAAAGACCTTGCCAAGACACGAAGTTTCAGGGTTCGGAGCTAAGCCAGGCTTTCGATGCTATCATTTTAGAAGTCCATGTACCTAACTTAACTAGTATGTCTTCGGCCTTAAAGTAGTCCCTACATAGGTACTTTGTTTGTATACTATTCGGGTACATGGACCCTTAAGGGTCATTGCCTCAGGCCTGTGGGATCAGGTTTGCGGAGCAACTTGGGGTCTTCCTGTCGTTTCTTTTTTGGGATGAAAGTAGCTTACTATAAAAATGGTTTAGCCCCAAAAAAGGAACTACAATGGACCAGATTTGACCTGGGTCGGGCTCGGCCCGGAACAACTCGTTCGAATCACGGCTTTGATTATTAGTCTGATGACGATGGTCCTCATGACTATTGCAGATTTGGTTGGAAATATTACAAGCTACAGCTGTGGTTTCTACAATGTTGGTTGTTGTGGCGATGGTGTCGCAAACTCATTTTTTACACTTTCGGTAAATTTGCAGTAGATGAATCCGACGGTCATCCCAGAAACACACCTGGAGTCCCCTCGCACCTTTAACCTCCCACCGTGAGCGTCAGTACACCGTTCCATTAGGAAACCGGCCAGAATCCGTGACGAACCCTCAACAGGCCCGAAGCCCAAAACTCAATTTTCAGCCGCAGCGCAAGATTATTGCTGATCGTAGGGGGCGACAGGACACGGCCCTGCGTGGTGAAATGCCTGGGAGGCTAATTATAGGCAATGGTCAAAGGGCCTGCGTGGCAAGTCTAAGTTTCCTTTGACACCGAACTCTGGAAGAAACGGGGCCACGGGGTGCAAACGACATGTCATGTCACTTCTTAGTACATGAATAGTTGTCCGCGGGCACAGCTTCCACCTTCTATCTGCCCTCAACCCGAAGCCCTACAACCCGCTACCTTGACAATCTTAAACTCTAAAACCCGAAGCCCTGAACCCTAAAGCACTCAACAGCTTCAGTGAGGGACTTCGATAGTTCGGATAATGTTTCTGCTGTGCTTCACCATAGACATATATATATATATATATTTATATTTATTTATAGATTCGAGGACAACGCTTGAATCCATGGGGCCTATAAGCCGCCTTGGGCCGCAAGGTGCGGTGTCCTAGGATGTAGGCATGGCTGTCATTCCTGGGTGCTTCGCGTATGTGCTGGAAATTGCAGCAGCTGTTTGCAGAAGCCTCCAAACTAACGCATTCACAAACCTCACAGGGTTAAAGTTCAATGTTTGTCGATCCACACTGCACATCCTTGATTTAAACCGAACCCCCAAAAAATCCTGCTTCTGATCCAAAACCGACGAGCTTTCCAGTACAGGCCAGATCATGTCGGAGACTTGGCACTTTGAAGGGCTTAGTGACTTGGTTTTGTAGTTGGGAGGGGGGGGTTTCTGTCCAGGGAGCTGGTTGTCTCGAGTTTGACCATTGCACATACACGGTGCTTGTAGCAGCCGCGGTGCCCAAATGTGGCAGCCAAGAACAGATCCATCAAAGGCTCACAAGCCTTCTTGCTCTCTCTAGGCTTGGTCAAGCTCTTTCCTGGTAAGCAAACACCCTGGAAGCCCGAAGCAGCCTAAAACCAACGTAAGGTTGCACGCTGAGGGGCCACACATATTCGCCGTTATCCTCTCTGATCGCATAGATCTTCCGGTCGTTGGACCCAAAGAAAACCTCAACTGAGCTTCGAGTCCCAAGCTGCGATGACCCTCAATGTTCTGTGCTTCAAGTCCTACTCGTCCGCTGTCCTGAAAAACTATTTAAAGGTTAACCTGTGGGTTTCTGTAGGGATTTTAGTACCCCAAGAAGCTTACTCCACTTCTCGAAAGAGCTGTTCCCTCCTAGCCAGATTCGCGGCACGGTGGGCTCTTGTCACCGCCCCTTCCTGGAGAAACTTGGAGCTACGGTTGTCTATTGTTCATGTTCAATTCCATGCAGGGGCTCAGCTTGGTCATGATGGCCCAAGGCAGCGAGGCGGTCTGTTGATGCTGACAGGAAAAGGACACTAGCCAGAGGCTCCATAGTAGTTCCTTTTTGGAGTTACCTTATAGGGTTCTAAACATGTACCCCAAAAAGGAACTACTATGGAGCCTTAGGGTAGCAGCTACGGGAACACAAGCAACGTCAAATGGCCGAGATGCATGCTGCTTGCTGACAGTAGGCGAAGACTGAATCGCATCGGCCGCGCTGAACCTCGTAAAGGGGCTCGAGGGGCCGATCAGACTCGGAGACCATATGGGAGTTTCCGAAAATCAGGCGTTATTTTGCGGTAAATATAACAAGGATGTTATGTACCATTTAGGATACTATATTAGGGTCCCGTATTTTCGGAGAATAGCACGGCACCTTTAAAAGAAAGGAACCCTGTGACACCATGGTGCCCTTTTTTGCACGGTTTAGGGTATAGAGTTTAGGGTTTCGGGTTTTTGGACACTCACACTCGGACAAGCCTGGCAAGGTCTGCAGAAGTAGGTACGACAGGATCGTTCAAGAGCTACTTACCAAGCAGTTTCACTTGATATGTGCGCTGTCAGACAAGATCCCAGACACGACACCAACAACCCAAGCATATCACAAGCCCTCAACTGACAACAGCCCTGCCGCGGGGAGGGTTATACAAGCCCACAAAGTTAAAGACTACTTTGTTAGCCCCTAAAACAAACGAAAGGCAAGGTCACGGAGCTCAGCTGCGAGTCCTTCCGTTTGCGAGTGGAGAATCGATGGCTTCTCAGCCCAGCCACACGGGCACAAAAAACACCATCGTGATGGGACTCGATGGATAGCAAGAAGGAACAGTGTGCTGGAACGGCACCATTCCCTGTGTTCCGAAGAAGTTGGCGTGGTAGTGCATGGGTGCAGGTTGTTGTGCTCCGCCGCAGGTGGAAGGCGTGGGCGGGAGCTTGCTCGCTGCCCTCGGCCGCCTGCTCCGCTTCCACCTCAGCCACCTCGGGAATACTTGGCTGCCACATGGGGGGCTGCGGCTGATGGGCCGCGCTGACTTTCGCAGACGACACGCGACTGTTTGCGGGCGATGTGAATCAGCCATTTAAGGTCTGTGTCCCTGAGCTCGCGCAGGCGCTCACGCAGAACGCACATCGGCACGAAGCTCGGACAGGGTCGTTATACGTACTCAGGTAGGTGGACAGACACATAGACAAGCAGGTAGGTAGGTGGATAGATAGGCAGATAATGGCAGATAAGTAGACAAGTCGATTGCTAGATAGGGGCATAGATAGACGGACACATAGATAAGTAGATCTCGCATATTTCCGGACTCATGCTAGACAGATGTGAGCCGTCGCAATCAATAGGGCCTCGACCTTGGACAGGACGGAAACCCTACACTTGTAGACAGAATGCTTGAGCCGTAGCCATTTTGCTTAGGGTTTCGCGTTTAGGGTGTGTCGCACCTAGCCCTAAACCCTAAACCCGGGCCCTACCATAATCCACGAGGCAAGAAGAACACTTTCGACTTTGGCAAAAAGATGGAGCACACACGCCCTGAACCCCCGGAATATAGGGACCTTCATAGTCAGGCAAAGCTTTGTTGAGAGGCTTTGACATAACTACACCAAGGTAACACTTTCCCTCCGCGTTGCGGGGAGCTGATTACAGCTTTGGTCGTTGAGCGAAAACTGCTGATTTGGGAGTTTCCGAACATAGGGGACCCTAATATAGTACCCTTAAATGCTAGGATCCTCATTATAAGGACCCCAAAATACGGTACCCCCACTTTTCGGAAACTCCCATTTTCTCGTGCGAGGAACTCCCAAGCCACAGTGCCGTCTGTGCTGTCCACGGCATACCTCAGTCGGAAGGCTAGAGGAGGTTATTAACGCGTCTTTAGGGCCGCGATACTCACGCGCTGAATGCTAGCCGCATGTAAAACAGCCGTATAACAGAGGTAAAAGTTTAAAGGTGCGGGGACGAAGTTGAAGCTTCAGACAGCAGACTCTAGACCTTAAAACCCTTAAACCCTAAAGTCCTTACGCCCCAAACCCCAAAACGCCGGCTCAGGGTCCCTGGAGCAAAGGAGGGGCAGAGCCCTTACCTGTAGCCATCACTTCAAAGTCTCGCCTGGCGGGCCACAAGATTGAAGATCGCAAGCTGCGAGAAAACAAGCCACGCCGCCCTGACCAAGGGTGACAACTCAAGCCGTTCAGAAATTAGCTGCGTACCATAGACGTTGTTGAAGAATCACTCCACACCGGCCCAGGTCGTAACCATAGTCTCAGAGTTTTTCGGGGTCAGGGTCGATACTTCAGCTCTGCAGCTGGAAAGGTTCATTTCTTAATCCAAGTCGAACTCTCGACATCCCCAAACCCTTAAACTCTACGGCCCTAAACTCTAAGGCTCGTTTAAACCAAGGCCCTGGACCCTACGGCCGTATAAAACCTAAACATCACTGAGCTTGCGTCGTAGCTGCATTTTGCCACTGTCAGTGCCGAAGAAAACCTGCAGCTGCGAAAGTTGCCCAAAGGGCTAGCACAAGGGACGCGCGAATGCTGGAGAATACTATTTGGGAGGTACCTATGCTACACGAAATGCCGAGGTCCTAAACCCCAAGCTCTAAACCCCGTGCTGCGGAGGTCAGCGCAAACGGAGGTGTGGTTTGGTCGACCTTCGTGTTGCTCAGCACCGGCGTCGTCTGGATGTTCCCGGAGCTTCTGCCGCTGTTTCCTGGGCTAACTCATCGTCGGTGTCTGCTCATTGCTGGTGATGATGATGATGATGAAAAGACAATAGAGCTGGCCGCCCAGAATGAAGCTAATGATGGCGATCATCATGGCGATGGCGATGATGCTGGTGATGATTGGGGTGATGGCATGACACGACTATGGTGATCATGGCGGTGTACATACATTGACTCACACATTCACACATGCATGCATGCATACGCTTATTCGTTCATACGCTTGCAGTTACATTGGTTCATTATCCTTCGTTCGTGAAAACCCTTCATTCGTTGAGTCTGCCAGCAAGGCAGCCGTGCAGCCGGCCAGTTAATGACACACATTGGCCCTGTGCATGCAGAGAGGGTATACCAATCAAGTAGAACAAGATCATCAAACACACGACCCTAAACCCTAGGCCCTAAACCGTTCGCGAATAGCGAAATGGCTCTGGAGAGCCTAAGGAAGCAGTCCACGTCCAAACAAAGTCCTACCCCTAAGGATTCTGAGTGCAAAAGTCTACGAACTGGAAGAATAAGTTGAAGGACTGTGACAACGACTGGCAATATTGAAAAAGCTAGGTTGACTGTTTCCTGTGTAGGTGCGAAATGCGCGGCCTCTTTACACATAGAACCCTTACTGTACCCTGGCTCAAAATAGACCAAAAGCCCTATGTGCTATGGTCTTTGGGCCCTAAGACCCTAAACCCTAAACCCAAAGGCCTTGCAACATGAGTCCTCAGAGCCTTGGGCTTGCAGCAACATAGGGATCAGAAGAGGGTTTGGGTGCCCATTATACTATAATTGTCATGAGGAGCCTCCAAAATAGTAGAGGTACTTGTTAAGGCACCTATATTAATCCTGAAGCCCCTAAACCCAATGGGTCCAAAGTACATTTCTACTATGATTTGGGGAAGTATCCCCCATAACAGCACCCCCAAAACAAACCCTGAAAGGGACCCCTATAGATCCCTTAAAAGGAACCCTTAAAGCATCCCCCACAACAATACCCAGGACCCTTGAGGACTGCCTAAATCTCTTGAGGACTGCCTAAATCTCTTAAGGCCAGGATCTCTGTGCGAAAGTCCATGTGGATTGATCATCTGCACAGCCCTGAAGCCTCAGGGAGTAGGGATTTTTTCCCTCTCGCATGGCTGGCAACTATGTCCACTGGCGAGGTTTGTGATTAAACTATCAAAGGGATTGGGGATTAAGGTTTAGGGCATATATTGCTCAGGGATTCTTTCCCTCTGGCATGGAAGAGAACTATGCTCACAAGCGCGGTGCGATTGACGATTTTCCGATACTATTGAAGATGCTATACATGTCCTTGTAGTGCTTTGGGATTAGGGTTTCGGGTGTAGGCGGCTCTACTGCCTTCGGGGTTTCTTTACAATTTGGGGGCCTTCATGATTTTAATAGGCTCGTGGGGAATGTAATGCTAGATTATGGGGCTTAAATGAGTTGGGGCCTTAATAGTTGGCATATTGTTGTGGGGAATGGTCTACGAAAGCTTTCTGGAGCTGTACGGGGACTGTGGGGACTCATTATTAGGGCTCTAAGGTTTTGGGTTTAGCATTTAGGGTTGGTGCATTCTCTAGAGAGAGACACGCGTTTCCGTGCGCCGACCTTATCCTTGCGGGCTGAGTACCCTAGCCCAAACAAGGTTACATAACCTTTAGTATGGTAGGACCCAGAGAGCCAATACCCCTTCATTAAGGAATATGGCTTTAATTATATAGGGCTTCATATTATGATTTAAGCCATATTCCTTAATTAAGGGGTATTGGGCTCTCTGGGGATTTGTACAAGCCCCAAAAGGCAGCTAATAAGTACCAAAAGTATAGCTGAAGGGTGCAAAGCCGAAAGCCCAGAGTCTTCACCTGCGTGGCATGAGTCTTAAGGTACAAATCCTCGACTTACGTAGGGTTTAGGATGGTTTAGGGTACAGGGCTTAGGCTTTGGGTTTAGGGTTGGGGGCTTATATGGCACCATATCCAGTCAACCCCGAAACATCTCGCGATGCAACGAGACGGTGCCACTGTGTTGGAATCTAACTCTAGGGCAGGGGGGAGGTCTCTTGTGGCATCCTGCGCCGCATCAGAAACGCCACGCAAGACAACCTTGAACGTACAACCTGCTGTTCTGTGCTGTGTTTTGGAGTCTAGGAAACGCCATGAAGAAGATAGGACCTCGCCTCATGTCCGAGCAAATACCTTCTTGCTTGAATGCAGCTGCAGCAGTAGGATTGAGCACAGGGGTGAGGAGCAGGTGGAGTGGCAGCAGTTTGAATCCGCTAGTTGCACCTTTAATCTACAGTATCACCGACAACTCTGACTTGGAGTCAAGATGCCACAGCGAGCAAATCAATGAACAGACTGCCAGAAGGCCACACCGTCCATCAGCACCCATGCGCTCAGGAAGACAGAACCCTTGAACTCCAGGGCCTTTACTAACGATTTCGCCAGGCTTACAGGTGTTGGAACAACTGGGGCATCACAGTTCAAAGTCTTGCGTTGAAGCCTCTGCGACGCCTCAAGCACGTCAGGGTTTTGGGATAAAGGTTTCGGTCCTTGCATCTGGCGCCTGTGCTGCAGAAGATCCTGCACGCACTTTTCCTGCACGATGCTTCGAGCCAGAATCAAGCAGAACGGGACTTCCTGCACACGGTAAACATGCAGGGGTGGGCAGCCGACAACATGCCGAGCCTGTGTAAGTATGTGTCCTAGAACTTAAAAGTTGCTCTCGGATTGATATCGGTTCATAGTCCTACCACTGTAGCGGGATTCTGCTATGCTGCTGCAAGCGAGACAGGTTGAGGTGACTCTAGCCCCTTGCTGCTGTCGACAGCTACTCTCAAGCTCGTAGCAGCAGGCGCAGGCTCTGGCTGTGTCGGGTATGTGGGCGCAGGTACGAGCTTCAATGACCACTGGTTATCCGGTTTAGGGTTTACATAGGGGTTTAGGGTTTACACTCGGACAAAGCCTGGCAAGGTCTGTAGCAATACTGGTCCTTCGTTAACAAACACCAGGGTTTAGGGTTTGGGACTGTTGAACCCTGAACCCCGACAAAGGTACCGGAAAGCCTCACCGCAGGAGGGCTCGTCGCGGCACTGGCATCTCGCTAGCCTCGCAAAGGGGATTGAATCAGTACCGGGCACTGATTCTTGATCAAGAGTAGTTGCAAGGCTTTAGTTAAGGAGTGGAATTTGGACGTGATCAGGCTCTGGTAGTCTGGGCCTTCACGTGCCTAATGCATCTCTGCTCATCTCAACACCAATCTACACTTCCTACTGTTCTGACCCCCAATGCCCGAGGATCAGGTATCTTGGACGCAGAGGACAGGTCAGCGTAGTTTCAGCCGTGTTCGAGATGAGTAGCGAACCCGAGACTCAGGACATCCTTCCACTCTTGAAGGCCTTACTTTGAACCATACACAATAACCGAAACCCCAAACCCCACGATTTTTCACAGTAGTAAAACAGTACTTCTTAAGCCATACCCAAGACCTTAAGCCAGCCATGAACCCCAGCTCCTACATACAGGCTGGACATGTCGATGCGAGCCCAATGCCCCTTGATGCCGCGCCTCACAGGCACCAATTGCAGCAGAACAGCTGACTGCCTCCGCTTGTGCGACGTGGTCTCATGCGGAACTGGGTTGGGTCAGAGCTTCAAGTGAGGCCCTTGAAAGGGCCCCCTAATTTAATTTCTTTCATCCTAAACCCTAGTTAACTAACACAAGGGCCTCTTAGAATCGGGTGTTGGGGCATATCATATCATAACTATGGAACCGCCCGAGAGAGTCTAGGTAAGTATTAAGGCCCCTCTATTAGCAAGAACGCACTATCACGGCTCAGGCTACAGCGACCTGGAAGACCAGTCTCGCCGCATTTGCACCAGTGGGAGCGAAACCTCTGCTCAAAATATGGGGGCCTTCATCGTAGGCATAAGTAGACTTGCATTCCGTTACAAACATAGACATGCATATACGTAAAAATAGAAAAAGAAATATAGATATCTATATATAAACTATAGACTGATAGAAACAATCTAGACAGTAGACACATGCAGACACCGAAACCCCTGCTCCAGTTATTAAGCGCCCTATGCTATCGGATATCCGGTGTCTGTACTTCGTAACAAGCTTCTCCGTCGTTTACGGTTATCGGTTAGGGCCTAGCTGTGCAAGTCTCGAAGCTTCTTCAGCTGTGGACAGCGGCATGTAAAACAACAGCCCTATAAACCCTGGACGACCTCTTCAATCCTGAGACGGGGGCATTGGGCGCAAGCTCCTCGCGGATCATTTCGTCCAGCAGTTTCTGCGCAATCTGCCTAAGCGCCGGCAGACACAGACGACAAGACAGAAAAAGCAAAGGGGAATGTCTAGCCTAGAGCTGTTTTCGGCTTGGGGTTGGCTTAGGATTTGCAGTGAGACCGGATTGCGGTTTTGTAGTCCCACAACGCACAGTAGAAGCCCAAAAGTTGGAAACCCAATAGCCTCTGTCCTTAAGAGTAATGTAGAGCGAATCCCAGCACTATTTGGCCTTAATCCGGTTTCCAACATTTTGGGGTTTGCTGTATCTTTCCTGAGCACGAACATTGCACATGGCTGTTGTTCTTAGGTTTTCTTGGAGCTTGCACATCATCAGATCCACCCTAAACTTCGCGAGTTCAAGATTGAGCATGTGCACGTGCGGCCCCGCGGCAGGGCAGCTAATCATATCATGAAGCTTGCAAAGTTCGTGAAGCAGTATTTTGCAGATGCAGATTGCTCACTAACTAGGTTCCCATGATGCCAGTCTAATGCTGGAAATCGAGTTCGGGTGATCTGCGACTGGATATGTGTACTTAGCAGGCGAAACCAGAAAACCCCGAATGATGCACTCCTAAATCCCTGTAAACCCTGCACCACTCTACATATCAGGGCGAGTTTGAGACTCCCGGCTTGAGGCATCCATTAGAAGGGGCCCCCACCCTGTAATAGTGGTATAATAGGATATAATAGGGCCCTAATATAATCCCTATAGTCACTATTACAGGGTGGGGGCAGCTTCTAAGGCATCCACGGCTTTTGGGTTGAGGTGCGGTTTTCGATGCTCACACTCGCACAAGGAAGGCAAGGCTCCACAGCGGTTTCGGGTTTAGGGTTTGTAAGGTTTAGGGCTTGCGCTGGGGGGGGTGCCTATGTTATGTCGAGAAGCCACCCAAGGCGGCTTATAGTTTATGGCCGAGGGTGTAAAGTTTATGTCTTATAGGGACTGGCCATGCCCCCGAAAACGAGAACTTCCGGCTCCTTGCAAGCTTGGCTTCGGAGGTATTTTGTGACATGAAACTCTATAAGGGCCCATGCACCCCAATAGTATATGCTTTGGGCCCAATGTACCTGTACAATTGGGGACTACTTTAAGCCTATTTGGGTACATGGAGGAAGGGAGTTTGTAGGACAACGCACTGACGTTGGGCGAGGAGCCACTGCTCGCCGCGACACGACGCAAGAAGGGAGTTGAAGCCTCGAAAGTCTCTGCTCACTGCTGCTCGATAGAGCAAACACCATCCAAACACACCAACATCTAGACACCTTTGCCTATGACGCCATCCGAAAAAGAATCTCTTTAGGCCTTTGTAGGCAGGGTATTATTTCGGGGCGGCACAACCATTGGTCTTGTCGCACTGTTCACTGCTGCCGCAGCTAGTATTGCAAAAGATTCATCACATTACGAGTCCATAAAACATAGAAGCCTCTTGTTGAAGTGCACTCAAAGACGTCATGCTCGCTTTACAAAGCACAACCCTAAACGCCCTAAAATTTCCTCCTTAGCAATCATCCCATATTTCCACAAAACCTCAAACCGTACTCTACGTCCGAACCTCAAGCCCAAGCCCTAAACCGAAAGAAGCCTTCCCCTGTAAATTAGGGCTGGAATGTCTAACTAGATTCCTGAATAGCCTCTACTATAAGGATACTTTTTGTCCTGGGAAAGGGCAGCGGGGCACCACTAGGGAGCCTAGATACGATTTGAAGTACAGGGTTTCGGTAAACAAGAACCCCAAGTACCGTTTAACAAACCTCAGATCATCCTTCATGCAAGGTATTCCGGTATCGGTATCATGGAGGGGTAGTTGGGGGAGTCGAGGTAGGGTTGAATGATTAGGGTCTTGGAATTGGCTAGTAGTACTGGGGATCATGGTTGTAAGACAGAGCAGATCCTGTGCCTAAGGCCTCAACTCCCAACCGGACGACCTACACACTCTGGATTCGCACATGACTCGGGTGCCTTGGTATGTTAGCCTTTGTGTTATAGTAAGGAACCCTCAGGAGAATTAGTCAGGGTTTAGGGTTTAGGGTTTTAGGGTTTAGGGTTTAGGCCCTGGGCCCTGTAGCCAAAGGCACTGACAACATCCCGGGCAACTTGCTTCCAGCGCAGGCTGTCCATCACATGCAGCCTCAGGTTGCGGTGCTTGAAAATTATAGGACTATAGGATTAGGGGGACCCTTGATAAGGTCCCTTTTAAGAGAGTCAGAAGTAGGGTTAAGAAGGGTCCCCTTTAAGGGGTCTCCCGGTCTCCCTAATACTACTTAGGATTAAAGCTGGAGACTCCGGACTCAAACTGCAACATGCTGGCTTTGGGGCATAAGGCATACAGATCCAGCCGCCGTAAACTGTCAAAAGTACCAGTGACTTGGTACAATAGGAGGACGTAGTGCGATTTCAAATCAGAAGAGATTGCACAGAGAGTTTCGCATTAGGCTTGTGTCCAACCTCGCTGACCGAATGCCACGTCACCGAAATGACCCTGATCCGACATGAACCACCACGTCTGCAAAGAGGCACCTGCCAAATTCCTGTATTGCAAAGCTGCTCATACAAACCTGAAGTTGGATTATCGCGACTCGTCTCTGGGGCATGTTGCTTCTTCAGGAGTCCTGCGCCCTGCTCTGCCGACAAGCGACTGCACCCCGGGGACAAAAAGGCGGAAAATGTAACCCCGGAGATCTGAATCAGCAACCCAAACACCCTGTGGTGCACATCTGCAAAGCATAGAAGGCAAAGCACCCACGCTTCCATCGTCCGTACGTGCGGCAGAGGTCCAGGACGGTACCGTAGGAAACCATGTTGGGTTTCACGGCCTTCCGACGTAGGGTTTAGGGCTTTAAGGTTTAGGGCTCTGATCCACAAGAGGATTTTGCATGTGCACAGGCTTGATGCGTGCTTTTCTTACATGGGAGTTTCCGAAAACAGGGGACCCTAATATAGTACCCTAAATTATAGGATCCTGATTAAAAGGACCCCATAAGAAGGTACCCCTCATTTTCGGAAGCCCCCTTATAAGTTTTTAAGTGGCGCGTGCATGGCCTGCTCAACCAGCTTCTGGAGCTCTTCCTCCAAGTCGTCGTCGATGCAAGCGGTAC